TAGTTCTGTGCCGTTGTCCGTGTGTATCCAGTGTGAAGGAGCAAAGTGGAATGGATGTTCCGTCTATTTGTATTGATCTTGTCATGATTCAAATAGACTTGGCGTAAACATTGAATCGGAAACGTAACCCCTGATTCATAGATACCATAACGCATCTCTCAACATTCTGTAATAGTACGGTGTTATTAACCTAAAAAAAGGCCTAACCTTGACATCCAAAGTAAAAGTTTTATTCCAACTCCAAATTATTCTATATAACCCTCTTATTGTTTGGTAAAAAGTTACACCATTTTGAGCGTCGGGTTTGGGGGGGAGGGGAGGGGGAATTTGAAAAATCACTTGTTTTTTTAGTTTTTCGTAATATTTCAAAAACTAAGCGGTTTATCCTAAACATTGTTATATAGAAAAATGTTCTACGTTAAATTTTAAATAAGAATGGTCCTCTTCATAATCACTCCAAATTGTACGGTTCAAGAGTTACAGACGGTGTAAATGTTAACTTTTTCGTAATTTTGATATTTTTTTTGAAAAATAAGCTTCGTAAAAGAATGTTGCTATTTCATTGGCCGGTGGTATGTTAGTGATAAGCCCTTGAAGGAAAGACAACCTCACCACCTTATCAAGGGGCACTCTTTTTTAAGGGAAAAGAGGCTTCCACAGGCCTAGGCCATATAAACCTGTGGTACGGAGAAACCCACCTTGAACTTTCTACGAACATTGCAACATACATTCACTTCTTAAGCATAAATATCTTTCAAATTTGGAATGTTCAATGTCTTTATCAACTTTACTCATCCTCCAGCACATTATCCTCCTCCTCTAGCTCGTCGTCTAAGATGTTATTATTGTCCATGTTATCACATGCTTGGCCTGAGCAATTGCTGCATATGCTAGTGCAGTTTAGACCACTCCTTCTGCATTCACAATTACGAACGCATTCATCTTTGCAAGTACACATTATAAGGGAGAGTAATTCCTGGGGGGCTGCAGGACGTGCTGTTGTAATTGGTGTCAGGTGGTCGCCAATCTTCTTCCAACCCCACTCGAGTGGATCCTTATCTTCATTCAGCTACTGTTGTACCTGGTGGTAGGTCCTAAATGAATGCTGTCTGGACGCTCCTGAAGTGGGGGGTAGTGCATCCAACTTCAGTAATGCATGTATAGTCTGCTTTGCAATCGCAAACGTGTGTTATTGATGATGACACGGACTTATTAGTACTGTTGACTGTCCACGCACCTTCAGGGAATAAACTGAAAATGGTCGTACCTAAAAATGGAAATCACCAGGAAAAAGTGTACATTATTTCTGACATTCAGCAAGGCATTGGGGATATGAAAGATGTACTTCTGGTTACATACGCCTTCACAGGATGTGACACTGTGTCTGCTGTCTATAAGAAGGGAAGAATTGCACCTTGTAGGAAAGTTCAAGCCAACAACGTTCTTCGTGAAAAACTTCTAGTCTTCAACAACCCCAGAGCCGACCCCAGTGCAGTGGCTGGTGCAGGAAATTACTTCCTACTTGCAATGTTTGGAGCCAAGAACACTGAAGATCTAGATTGTCTCCGCTACCAGTCCTACTTGAAAGCGATTGCAAAGCAGCCTATACATGCATTACTGAAGTTGGATGCACTACCCCCCACTTCAGGAGCGTCCAGACAGCATTCATTTAGGACCTACCACCAGGTACAACAGTAGCTGAATGAAGATAAGGATCCACTCGAGTGGGGTTGGAAGAAGATTGACGACCACCTGACACCAATTACAACAGCACGTCCTGCAGCCCCCCAGGAATTACTGTCCCTTATAATGTGTACTTGCAAAGATGAATGCGTTCGTAATTGTGAATGCAGAAGGAGTGGTCTAAACTGCACTAGCATATGCAGCAATTGCTCAGGCCAAGCATGTGATAACATGGACAATAATAACATCTTAGACGACGAGCTAGAGGAGGAGGATAATGTGCTGGAGGATGAGTGAAGTTAATAAAGACATTGAACATTCCAAATTTGAAAGATATTTATGCTTAAGAAGTGAATGTATGTTGCAATGTTTGTAGAAAGTTCAGGGTGGGTTTCTCCGTACCACAGGTTTATATGGCCTAGGCCTGTGGAAGCCTCTTTTCCCTTAAAAAAGAATGCTCCTTCATAAGGTGGTGAGGTTGTCGTTCCTTCAAGGGCTTATCACTAACATACCACCGGCCACTGAAATAGCAACATTCTTTTACGAAGCTTATTTTTTTAAAAAATTATCAAAATTACGAAAAAGTTAACATTTACACCGTCTGTAACTCTTGAACCGTACAATTTAGAGTGATTATGAAGAGGACCATTCTTATTTAAAATTTAACGTAGAACATTTTTGTATATAACAATGTTTAGGATAAACCGCTTAGTTTCTGAAATATTTACGAAAAACTAAAAAACTAGTGATTTTTCAAATTCCCCCTCCCCTCCCCCCCAAACCCGACGCTCAAAATGGTGTAACTTTTTACCATAGAATAAGGGGACTATGTAGAGCAATTTGGTGTTGGAGGAAAACTTTTACTTTGGATGTTGAGGTTTAGGTCTAATTACACCGTACTATAATCAGTAAGCCGATGAAATAAAGTTAGCATTTATAGGTTTTCCTGAATTTGAAATTCGAGAATCTTGTAGTATCAATTTGTGTTATTATTTTTGTTGGGACTATCAAGTAGTATCATTTTTGGAATTAGCATTGTTTCAAAGCACGAAGATCCATCTGTTCAAGCCTCAAGGTATTCCAATTTTACTAATGGGTGATAACCTGGATTATAAATATTTGGCACTGCTAAAGATATAGCTCTGTTATGTGCGGCAGCAATAGGAACTTCCGCAAATCGGAAATGTCGTCAGTTCAAAATAGGACCTCTGAATAGGTATTCAAAAACTAGAGGTTTTTTCAAGCTATATATCTTCATGTCTATGTAGCTTACATGATCTCCCCAAAAGAACAGTTTGCATCAAATACTTCATCATCAATGATTGAATATATTGATGATACCAGTTATATTTATGAGCCGTACAATATCTGTGCATTCTCCATCTTCCAACTCGTCACCCGATGAGGCTTCTCAGGTCTCCTCAATCAATATCGTATGTTGAACAATTGATATCATAAATCAATTAATAATGTTGAGCAAACAATGAACTCACCCTCTCTTTTACATGACGTTTTGTCACCATTTAACAACGCGAAAATAGGAAGATGGAAATAGGCATCACCCCTGATTTATAGAAACCGTAACACACCTCAACGTTATAATGAACGTTGCGCAAGCAGTACCGTAAAACGATGAAATAAAGTTGGCATTTATAGATTTTCCAGAATTTGACACTCGCCAATCTTGTCATCAATCTGTTTAAGCTATTCCAGTTCTACCACTACAACTACAGCTGGGTTATGGTTATGTGCGGCAGCAATAGGAACTTTCGCAAATCGCAGTTTTAATACCTATCACACACCAAAAAGCAACAAATAGGTATCTTACATGATCTCCCCTGAAGAACAGTTTGCATCAATTACTTCATTATCCATGTATTAAATAATTGAAGTTACCAGATATATTTATAATCCGTATAATATCAGTGCAATCTCCTTCTCCCAACTAGTCTCCTCAATTTATGGTATTGTTATTTTGTGATACCTGTTTGACTTGTATAAATCGAGATAATATTATCGAAGAGGTTTCTCAGGACTCCATGATCAATATTGTATGTAGAACAATTATATGATATCATTAAACATGTCCTAATGTGAATAAAAAAATAAATCCAACCTCCTTTCTGCATGACGTTCTGTCACCGTTCCACAACGCAAACATAGGAAGATGGAAATGGGCATATCTCTCGCGTTGCCACGATCAGGGTTTTGCGGAATGATATTCTATAAACAGTACTGTAAAAATCATATGTTTCATCTCTCATCATGTAACGGAAGGACTTGCGTTACATCACGTTATTGAATCTATAAATCAGGGGTGAGCCTTAAATGATTTCTCAAGATGAATTCGAAGACCCACTATTGCAATATAGATGTATAGAAATTTAACTGGTGGACTCATTCTTCAATTGTTCCGTCAGACTAACTCTCGATATGGAACAATTGCAAGCGAGTTTTGGACGTGGGGTTCAGGTATTTGCGATAGAGGCGCCATAATAGGAAAATCGTTCAAAACCTTTGTTCTGTGAGGGATGAATCTTTATTGTTCTGTCGTCGAATAAATACTGTGCTCAACATTTTCATTCAAATTTCAATTTGGAATAGAAGCAAAAAATCTTTTTTGTAGCCGACTTTAATAGGCTTCACTTCTTTCATGACATGAACCTATTTAAAGCATGAAATCTGATGAATTTCCTCTTTGAAGAACCAGAACAAAGAATGTATCAACTATTAAGATAGATCAATATCGAAAATCATAATAGGCAGATATATGGTAACTGGTACTCACCTTAGAATTTATTCACACCAGTTCACGCTAATATTACAAATCACTGAAATAATACTGTTGTAGAACAGACATTTCTTTTTTTCTATGGTGGATTAGGTATAATACACAAAATTTAGAAACTACGGAACACGTCCCTAACGAACACTTGACCCCAATCTCAGAAATAACCATTTTTTCAGCTCGAGAATATTTTTGACATATTGACGTTTCGATCCTTTGATCAGGAATCAGTTCGCTGCTCTGATCCAAATCATATACGTATCCGAATATTTATCGGTCGGTAATATGTTTCCTGAAACCAGGATGAGCTAAGCGAGATTTACCCACGGCAAGTATGTTTATCAAAGGTTTATCAGAGTAGGCGCCATCGAGAAACTTGCAAACGACCTTCAATAGGGAGCAAGCGCACCAGTTAAATTTCTATACATCTCTATTGCAATCATTTATAACACGAAATAATCAATTTGACAATTTGTCAAATGAACAATGATGTTGCCGATGACAGCAAATCCAAGTAGTTTTTCCGAGTATGAAGGATGCTGAAGATTCAGTACCCTCAGTAAATACAGCCAAATACCTTGATGAAAAAGTGAATATCGAAACATTAGTAGGCAAGCATATCCTCACCAAAGACGGGCAGGTAATATCGGTATGCCGTCATTTCAAAGCTAAGAAGATCCTCATCTATTTCTTCTCCGCTGCATGGGCTCCAGCCATCGATGTCATCGCCAGACTGAAAAGCCTGTACGTTGAAAACTTGAACAGAAATACGAGAATGGAAATCATCTTCGTATCCTCCGATACAGACGAAAGCACCTTCAATCAGTATTTTGCCGAGCAAGGACCATGGTGTGCGATACCATTCAGAAGTGCCATTTGTGACGAATTGCGCTGGATGTATGGCATAACATGTTTGCCACAGATCATAGTGATTAGAACTGATGGTACAGTGATAACACGAAAGGGCAAGGATGAATTAGAGAGCCTTGGGAACAATGTTATTGTATGTTGGGCAGAATATATTCAGCAGTGAAGGCAACCTGTGTTAAATTCATTCAATCTCCTCTAGGTATAAGTCGATAGATAATGGCATCATTCTTTTCAATAGAAGAGCACTATTCAATATGATACGGTACGGTACATTGACCCTTTCAGTAAAATTATATACCTAACTAGTTGTTCAATCTGGCTTTGTACGGTTGGTGTACCCATTTAAAAAAAAAAGACGTTTGTTGCAGTCGTTCTGAGGTACGGGCGTATCTACAGTACATATTTGTTTTGAATTTTTTCATTCAATTTTCCGTGCTAACCTTTAGTTACAATTCTATACTCACTCACACCTATTCTAATTTCCTCACTATTTTGTTGTTGTTTAACGTAATAATAATTTCAACACAATTGGTTGAGCCGTTTAAATGTTGAAGTACCTACAGCAGCGTCACCTACCGCATCCAATTGTATTTTTGAATCATCGAGGAAATCATTGAATTATTCATAAATAGTTCAAACCAATCGGTAGAGCCGTTTAGGAGTTATTTGAGAAAGATAAGTACGGATAAGGATAATTCTTACTATCCGTTGTCTTATTACCCGTTTTCTTGTAGGGATGTAGCATTTTGCTGCTATCAAAAGTAGCCTTTGTTCATTCGGGATAATGTGTTGAAATCAATTTTCAAATCGATCCAGTAGTTCTGGAGCCTATTCAATTAAAACAAACAAACAGACAAACCAACTAACAAATCTTCCCCCTTTCATAAAATGAGTAAAGATAATCAGAGTTTGGGAATTCTTTGCCGAGAGGAGTGTTTCCAAGATCAACCTTGGATGTCTTAAATACGACTCATTATCCTCCAGCGTTGAAAGATAGAGGCTTACCATACCTTTAAACAAAAACTAAAACGATATTCTTATCTCTCAGTTTTATGGTGGATTAAAATCGCCCTTACCGCTTGATCGGCTTCAAAAATTGAATAAGAAAACAACGAGACTCTTGCAAATCTACACATTATATACACACCTACATAAATTATTATCTAGATCGCTAGAGGATGTTTATATTCCACTATCACGAGATCTCGATGTCCTGAAGTGGAGTTTCTGCGCGAAGGCGCTTTCAGGCAAGCAATCCACACGAGATTTTCGGGTTTTTGAGAAATGACCACTGCCCGTCTAGATAGTAGTTTTCGTCAGTGTACAGAAATTCTCTGATCCTACGAGCAATTTTGTCGGAAATAAAATTGTAGTAAATCTGTTTTGCTCCAGTTATTCAAACTCAAAAAGACGCCAGTAGATCGAATCTTTGTGGTATGCAAATATATTAAGAATCAGGAAATGGGATTTTGGTGATGATTTTATCTAGGCTTTGTCCATGACTCAATAACTTGATGATTTCGTGAATCCGCTAGTATACGTGTGTTCTCTGTTAGAGACTAGATTGATTTAAAAAAAATACTGATGATTATTCAGATACATGTAAGTGGAATTCTTTTTTATTACCCTTCCTGACCCTTCCTCAACTATATTGCTGAATTAATTTATGAACTCAACGGCACTGAGAACTAATAACCAAATTATAAATCTCAGAAGCTGAATGATTGGTTCATTCAAATGAACATATCAGCTTTTGTTTTATTGAACGGATAATCTGAATCGTCTACCAGCGAAGAAGCTTGCTGTTGCTCCCATGAGGACATGCACGAAGGCCTTTCAAAAACATTTCTTGGCAAACGAAAGTAACAAACACACATGGTTTCACTGTGGACAGCAATACTGAAGGAGGTGAAAATGGTGTCATTTCGAGCTGACAGAATGATTGTTACCACATACATCTAATAACAATACAGTTGCTGGCTTCAGCCAACGTCTACATCTTTCAAGGATATCTTGATTACCTACAAAATATCCTTGTGTTCAAGGTTATGAAAAGTCCCTTCCATCATTGCACGGAAATTGATCTCTTTTATGTTTCTCAAAAACTCGTGCGTTTGTGAGATGGATATTAAGTGAAAGTAGGTATGAAACTTACATAGAAGACTCAGAACCAAAGGTGTTTTACACCGTACACAACATAATTATTCATATAATCTGGTCGGTACTGGAACTTCTACAGAAAATTTTCTTCGAGAATCTATCATTCCAACACAAGCGATACCAATCAGACGACCTCTCAACTTCCAGTCAACACATCCCTCTATTGTGAATGATATGTCGAATAACTCTTCACCAATTTTTGATTTTTATAGAACGGCAAAGTTTCGGAATTTCGTGCCTCAAGATGTTTCCTCTTGATATGATTTTCCATGGCCAAATCAGTTTTGTGCTTTCAATCTAAATATGGCGCCCATGAGAAAATCAAAAGTTGCATGGGAAATCCCTGAAAATGTGAAAGATAGAATAGTTGTGACAATTTCAACTTCTTTGTCAACTGGTACTGGTACTGGTGGGGGACGTTTCCACGTCAGCAACTAGTCCCCAATGGGACCTTTTTGCAAACCCCAAGTGTTTTCAATGACTGATGTGGTTCGCTCAAGAGAGCTGGCTAACATCCTTTTCAGGCACCGCCCATCAGCTCTCTTTTCAGAGTTTTTCAGCTGTGTTTTGTAGGCTAGTAATGTACTCACTACCATATGCGCAGTGGCAGGCCTGCTAACTATCCTCGTTAACCCCCGAGACCGAGGTCGACTTAAGCAGCTGGCCCGCTCTCACGCTCAGCTGGTAGTTTTCCACACCCACCTACATACACCGTCCTACTTCTTCTCTGATGCTCACAACCACATCATCATATCTTTCTGCGTGTTCTGTGTAGGCTTTGTTACTAACTCCATGCGCCACTTTAGGAGCAGCACTGTTAATTGGAACGCAACAGCGAATCGTGCAGGACTATCCCCAGCCGATGCTCCGAAACTTCACAATATTTAATTCGTAAATAAAATATTGAAAAAAGTTCCTTGCCTTCTTTGTCAAAATTGAAAATCTGTTCAAACGAAATTTGAAATTTCTGCCTGTAATATCATTTAAGGAAACAAACAAAAACATATTGAAAAGGAATATTTTCAGATATATAATATTAACACAAAATAATGAATATACAGGGTATGTCTCGACGAGCTTACCCTATCTCTATATCGAGAATCAGTCGAGAGAAATCCACGAAAATATGCATGCTTATATTTCAGAATACGCTCTCTTCATTTAGGATATTTTCAGTACTGCAGTGTTGCCGCTTCTATTAAAAAATAGCAACAATTTTGTTATTTCAAATAGAATACTCTGTATTTTATTGCATTTTCTGATTCTCCCTGAAGAGCTGATTTCATCGATACATCACAGTTCTATCGAAAATGATTACAGGGATATAGGGTGTTAAAAATCGATATTTTTCAACTTTAGTTGTGTCGAAACTATTCATTATCGGCCACAACGGTTCAAATGTCCCTATCTCAAGTTTTGATTTACTATTTACTGGTATTTAATTGGAACAGATACAGGGTGATCAGAATTCTGAATCTTGAACCACCCTGTATATGTTCCGATTGAATATCAATAAATAGTGAATCAAAAATTGAGATAGGGACATGTGAGTTGTTTAGACCCACTGATGTTCCACCGAAAAGAGTAACCAGACAATTCAGCAATTCGTCAAAAAAATAAAAACTTCTTTTTTTTATTTACAATTTAGTGTTTAGTGTACGCAATTATTATTATTTTTACTACATTTTCATTAATAGTCTGATATTTTATATTGCTTTCCTCTCTTGTTTTATTTTTGTCAATTCTATAATTTTATATAGGTACCTTCTTAGAAATGCTATAATTTATTGTATATCTTCCAACTCAACCATAAAATGGACAGATACATTCGAGATTTTCAAATTCAGACAATTGATACACGTGTTGCAAATAACACAGTACAACTCAATGATATTTTTCAAGAAAACCAACCCAGAAATGCTTTAACAATTTTCCAAATGAATATAAGAAGCATCAACAAAAATCTGGATGAACTGAAAATCGTGCTGTCGGAAATTCAGAATGAAATGGATATAATTATCCTATGCGAAACCTGGCAGATAACTGATTTTTCACTTCACAATATGTATGGTCACACAAGTTTTTATAATCATGGAAGTAAAAACCAAAATGATGGCCTAGCTGTATTTGTGAAAAATGGCATTAAAGCACATACCTCAGTTATAAACATAGGCGAAATAAAAGCAATTGAAATTCTGCTAACAAACAACAGTGAAACCAGCCTCATTACAGCATTATACAGACCACCATCTACAAATATTAACAACTTCAATGAAAATTCATCACATTACATGGAAAATTGCTCAAAAACCATAAATATACATATTTTTACCGGCGACATCAACATAAATATTCTTGGGGAGGAAGAGGAAACACAAGATTATTTGAATATCATGGCTGAACATGGATTCATTTCCGCGATCAACAAATATACTAGAATCCAAAACAATTCAAAACCTTGTATAGACCATATATTCTTAAAAACTAGGGTAGACAATAATAATTATATCATCAAACCAATAATTTTTGAAACTAATATAACAGACCATTTCTCTATATTGGCAGATATAACCCTTCCCGAAAGAAAAGTGAATAAGGTGAGTAAATTGGAAAAGCACTACTTGGATAAAACTAAACTTCTCAATCTTATCAGTAAAGAGAAGTGGCAAGACGTATATTCGGAAAACAATGTTGAATCAGCCACAGCAATACTGATAAAAAAAATTCAAAACTACGTGAACTCATGTACCAATAAGGTCAAAATTAGAGCATGTAAGAACAAAAAGAAAGAGTGGATGCCAAAGGACTAGTGAACTCAGTTAATAAAAAGAATGAACTTTTCGATATAGTGAAGAGAAATCCAACTGAAAGTAACATAAATGAGTATAAAAAATATAGGAATGAATTGAATGACTTAATTAAAGCAACAAAATTCGCGTATTATCAGAATCAGATTCAACAGAAATCGAATAACTCTGCTGATTTATGGAAATGCGTTAACGA